CTTCCGAAACCCACCTTCAAACGATCTCATGCGCAAGCATTACACAACCTCAGTCGTGCCAGCAGCACCAGCATGGTGTTGAATAGCAAAGTTCCATGCACCAGACAGGCTTACTTACTACGCAAGCAAACACGCAACACGCTTAACTCAGCACAGGAGCTGCCAAGCCATGTGGCAAGTCAAAGCACTGCCCAAAATCAATCAATTCGTAGTACCACTATGTCATCGAAAACCGAAATCCATGTATTGGAAGAAACTGGTCGTGAATCTTGACGCACTGACTGCGACCTGTCCTTGGCTGAACCGCCTGTCGCCTTAGCTGAAGCGTTAGGACTTTTGGCTGACTGAGTCTGGATCAAAGAGATCAGGATCTGGTCTCCTTCCCCCCCTCTCAACAACCCTTCGCCCCACACCCACAGACGGCCTGGGGCCTGAGCCCTTTCGAAGACGAGGTCCCACAAAGCAGGTATTTGTTAAAACGGTCGTCAAACTGCCTGTGACTGCCCCACCACCCCAACACCTTTCCGGGATCCGGGACACCTTCCTGGACCCTGGGGACACCCTGAGAGCGCAACCCTCCCTATCACCACACCGCGCGGCCGCAGGAACACCGACGTGCACATCTCTTGGTTTGGGCGGGTCAGAAACTGAGTCATCCATGATTACGGGGAAGCCAAGGGCCTAACGATAAGACCCTGAGCACCTGGCCGTTCATGTTTCGTTCTCTAGTTCGCTTATTCACTGACAATTCGACAAGTCGTGCGTGTATTTCGCTCACTAGTTCTCTTCACTTTATGATGTTATTACGGGCCAGTATTAAAGTAGAAGCTCCTGATTGTGACTCATCAACCCACTCCACAGATTGTATGGTTGTTGAGGGATGATGTACAACATCATGCAACAAGGACCTTTCATCGGCCCTCAACCCCATACAAGAGCCCCCAATTTTGTAAACGAAGAAGACTACAAACATGACTACAAACATCGTTTCTCCAAGACGAAAGTGGCAGCACCGGTTGACCCCACACACCCTCTATGCCACGTTTCCTGAACCCCGAAAGCCGAAACCCCATAATCGCCATAACTAAGAACACCCTGCAATGCCTGTCATGTGGTCCGGCAGGGAAAAATCACTCAGCTCCGTGCTCCTGGAAACCTCAGGGCCTGGCCGAAGCTTCTGCACAGACTTGCACCGAGGGGTCATTAAAGTCATGAACTGAGACTCGGGTGGTCCCACCTTGGCCTCTGCAAACCCACCCGCGACAAAAAAAACCGGGCAGGCCGTACACAACGACGGTGGGACTAGTGACTACTGGCCTCTTGGAAAACAGGCGTGACGATGCAACCGAGGCGAGACTTCAAAGGGTTCACGCGCTTCACGAAACTCGAAGTTGACACCCCGTCCGCGGGGGATTCCGGAGATGCATGGAACTGCATTTGCCCGATTTGCCCTGAACCGGTCTCCAACAAGCAATCAAACCTTTGTTCACTTACCCGGTTCCTTACATCACGACTGGTGTTGGACAGACTCAACATTGTCGGAGATGACCACGCATGACACGGGTTGGCCTCTTCGGGTTGGGTCTCTGTTGTGGGCTTTACGGTTTCACAAGTGTTCCGAAGCGTGAGCCGTCTTCTTCGGTGTGCACAGTGCAAGCTGAACCGATGGCAGCTGGAGGGCGACGACTTTCATGACTCAAAGTTGCACTTCAGAAGACCTGCACCCTTTCTCTGCAGCTTCACATTTTGCTTACCATGTGCCATTAGCACTAACTTTAGGTTTTAAATTGGAATATCAACACCGTCGTCATCCGCATGCTGGCACACTACATGACATGAAACAGGTTCAGCATTGCTCAAGCAGCCGTTGCGCATCGCGCTGCGAGTTGTTCGGTTGAGGGGGCAAGCTAAAGCTGGGATCTGAGAGCCGAGTTGGGGCCTGAACTGCGACAAGCACGGAAGGCAATGCTTCATCTGCTTCGGGTTCTGTATCCATGTCGAACTTTTGCTGCTCATATTCTTGCAGACGCCAAGAGGTCACATTATCAACCTCCTCTACCCATAGCGTAAGCACACCATACAACAAGCACTGAAGAACTGCCCCCTTGCCTCTGCCATCCCACCGTTTGATTTGACGACAGCAGCTGGGCCTAAGTTAACCAAAACCTCAAGAATCATCATGATCATCATCATGATTGTGCTGGGGCTCTGGGGCACGGAGGACAGTGCAGGACAGTGTGGAGCTCGGGCGAAAGATTCAACCACACAAGGGGCATCGGGTTTTGCAAGGCAAGCAAATCTTGAGAAGCACTTGTGTAACAAAGAAACAAACACGGTTCCAACAACAGAACTCACCCCAAATTCAGCCAAGAGCTGGGGCTGAGGCTGGCGGGTGAAGACACGACTCGTCCTGTCTGGCCTGAGGGATATTACGAACCCTTTGAGGGATACGACGCTGGTCGTCGACCCCACACAGGGGCGAGAACCAGCAAGGGAGCAACGACACCTGAGTAATCTTTTGGAGACCAGCACACCCAGAGCTTGCACGCTGTTCTACGCTGTCATACGCTGTCAAAGGCTGTCAGTGCTTGCTCTTTTGTTGACGCGAGCCCGTACAGTCAGCGAACGAAAGAAAAGGGTTATGACCTAAAAAAAGTGCCGCTGTCGCTCATTCTCTTGACTGCTCAGGAATCTCTACATCACGCAAGATTTGCCTGGCATTGCTGGGCTCACGACCCGCAAAGTTTTCGCGCCTGCGCAAGGTGCCGATGGTGCCGGATGGTGCTGGTATCTCCCTCGAACCGCGGCTGTGCACTGGGCCCGAGCCTCGGCATCTCTGGCGACATCCTGAGCGGCGAGCCTGACAACAGGCGTCACAGGTGTCACCTATCCGTTTCCCCAAGCCGGTGCCCTTTGGATCCCTTTAGCACCTTCGAAGTCCTCGCGCAGGAGGCTGCCACTGCCTGCGCTGTCTTAGATCACAGAAACACACACACACACACACACACACACACACACACGGACGGAGACAATATGCTGTTGAAAAACATAGGCTTTCCACAAGAATTCTCGCTCTGAGCCCAAGGCCGTTGGGCAAAACAGGCTGTTGCACCTTTGAGGCAGCAGAAATCATCATTCCGTCAGCATGAGCCACAGCAGCTGACAACAGATGTGCTAAGTTGAGCGCAACCGTTGCGCAATCCTCCGATCCTTCGAAATCCGAGGAAGCGTGTTGCTGAACATTCCAACGGCATGCCCTTTTCTAGGGGAAGTTGGTTCAGGAGTGGGTTTGCGAGAGACGGGCGGCAGGAGAAACATGTCACAAGGCACACATGCAAGTCTAGAAGCGTGCACGTGTTGAGAATCAAGGGAATGATGATCAAGATACCAGCACACCACCAAAACGGTCGCTTTGCCAATATCATGCATTCTGCCCGGCACGCGTAGCCAGTACTGCAATGTGTTGCAAAACTTCAAAATTGGCACTCACAACGGAATCCGGCCTGGGAGACTGATCGACTCCCCCACCCGTCGCGCCGCCAGGCTCTCCGGGTGCTGGAGCCTTGGAAGTGACATGTGTGGGGGGGAGGCTCACCGTGCTCACCTGCTACCGAACTTCGTAACTACTGCCACGACCCATCCATCCCATCCTCTCTTTGCGGGTGCTGGTTGAGCACTGCGTGCTCTTGAAGCTGGAAGGTTGCAGCTCTTCGCTGCATGCTGTGAGTGCAGCTGCTGTTGTCAAAGCTTTCTCGCGATAAGACTACATGCCGTTGTTTCCTTCCAGATGCTCCAACTCTGCCAATGTTGACCATGCCAGGCGTTGTGACCCTCCTGACGTTTCTGACCCATCTCTGTCGTCGACGTTGGAACATAGTTATCATAGCGTACCATAGCACTTCTTCTCTTTAAACACCTCGTGTCACTACCACTCAGCCCGCCACGAAGTCAGCTGCTCTCGAAAGCTGCTCTCTCGGTCCTTGGTTGGGCTGGGGGCTCAGTATGTTTGTTTGCACGGTGACGATCCTGACTCTATGCTTCAGATATTTGGGCTGCTGCTTCGTCGACGTCAAGGGCCTGCACCGGGAAGAAGACTGCTGGTACGATCATGTGAAAGCAACAGGATTTCAGTGTACAGGATTTCCCGTCCCCTGAGTCTTGTGTGATTTGCCAGGGTCTCCAGTTCTTATGTCAGGCTCGGGCATGCACTGGCACTCATGGGTTCACACATCAAACATCTATTCATGTCATTCATAGAAACTTGCGGTTGACGAGTCAACCAAGTCTGAATCAATGCCCTCTGAACCCCTCAGAAAGTCGAGAGCAGGAGCGCCCACCAGCCTCTTCTTCCATACCTCAGGCACCCAGAGACATGTCAGACACCGGCCATGAACGCGCAACATCTTGCAGCTATTGCTTCTGCTGCTTCTAAAACATGGGCCAGTCTAACGCCTGGAAACTCCTGCATCACCTCACAGTACCCTTCGCGAGCTGTCTGGTAGGCACTGTAAGGCACCCCACTGGTCTTGGGCCGGGCTCATGCTGCGCGCCCGTCGGCGGTGGCCCATCACAGCAGGAACCAGGAACCCAGCTCGGGTACAATGTGCTCTGGGGCTGAGAACGGCTGTGGCCATGAGATCCTTGTTGGGTAGGTGTGTTCCCGGGTTGGGATGCATCAAGCAGACTCGGCGAACGACTTTACATATTGAAGGTTTGGCAGCTAAGGCACATTGCAGCATATGGTTTTTGTGGAGTGGACTGGTATGGGTGGAACCGTGAGTCTATGTCTATGTCCCTCTTCCAGCTGCAAGCCAAGTGCTTCTCAGCCGACAATCCGACAATCCTGACAATCCACTTTCCACCTTCTTGGGCTCGTTGAGTCTTGATGACGTCTCGGCCCATTGGCAAGCAACAGCCAGAAGTGCTTTTGATGACTTAAGCAGGTTGGAAGCCAGACTCTACACATGTACATGTTAAGTCTCAGAGGGGGCCCATATGTCTCAATCCAACTGGATCTCCGCGAAGGTGGCGCCGGAGAGGATGGCCTTGGCCTTCTTGACGGAGTCCATCTCCTCGCTGCGGGCCGCCTGCCGTGCCTCGAAGTTTTGCATGAGGAAGTCGCAGCTCTCATGGAGACCGGCTTTGGTGTCCGCAAGGTTCTGGAGAGCGTCCTCCGCACCTTCGCGGCCTTTTCGTGTCTGGACCAAAGTCTTCTCAAGGCGCGCCTTCTCCGCCTTTTTGTCCGAGATGGCTGCCTCCTTCTTCTCCACGGACTTCGACGTGTCCGCAGAGAAGGCTTCATAGGCCTTCTGAGCGCTTTTCTCTGCCCGCACGGACTCCGCTTCCATGGCCTTGGAATCATCGATAAGCTTTTGCAACATGGACAGGACACCGAAGCTCTTCTCGTTGGCCTTGTAGTCCTTGAAACCTCCCGGTGCCGGGCCTGATGGGTCGTGGGCGCGATGGGCATTGACCTGGATCATGGCTTCCTTGTTGTAGAACTTGCTCAAGGAATCGAGCGCATCCTTCAACAACTGCTGGGTCTTCCGCTGATCTTCCACGACTTTTTGAAACTCTTCATTCTCCTTCTCGCGGTTCTCGCCCGCCTGCTTGAGCTGCTTCTGCATCTCAGCCACCTCTCCCTCCAAGGTCTCGATCTCACTCTGCGGCTTCTTCACATCAATAGCCTGCTCCTTGGCAAGCAGAGAGGTTTGTACTCGCGTCTTGTCTGCCGTCTCCACCTCATTCTCACGGAATTCCTGCACGCAGAAGTCCTTCTGCTTCACCTCATCCTCCTGCTCTTTTGTTAAAGTGAAAACCATGTCGTCCATGGCTTTCTTCACCTGAAGCGTGCTTTGATCCCCTCCAGCACACCCCCGGACATCCCCGACAACAGTGAAGGAACTGCCCATGACTCGAAACGCGCTAATTGTCATCCCTTGTTTCGACATGTAGAAGACAGCTCCTGGCCTTGGTGAATTTGTCGATCTTCGCCTGCATGGCCAGCGCAGCCAAGCGGGGATCGGTATGTCCGGCCTCAGTCAAGACACGGGCGGCGGCTCTTGCGCGGTTCGGCTCGGCGTGCTCGGCATGCTCGGCGGACTCCTGGAGGAAAGAGAAGGTCTTCTTGAAGTTGGCATGGGCATCATCCGCATCCAGAATCTCAATGGCCTTGGATATACCCTCGGCCTCCTCAGCACGGATCTTCTGCCGCTCGTCCCATTCAGCGTCCATTTCGGCACACTGCTTCTTCACGTCATCCACAAAGGACAGGTCAGCACCCATCAGCTCCTCGGTGTCCTTAATTGCCTGCTTCTTCTGGGCATGCTCCTCGTTGGTCTGGGCACGCTCCCCTTTCCTTGCTCTGCATGCAACTGCTCGCTTTAAGAACCTAGAAAACTGTATAGTAAAGTGTGCTTCGTTGACAAACCGTGCGTCTTTGCCTCCACCTGGTTCGTGCCGGCTTTGATCTCGGCACTTTTAGCCGCCGCGAGCTCTTGGAACTGCGCCAACGATGTGGCCTCGGCCTCTTTCAACTTCACCATCTCGTCTGAGAAGTCGTCCTTCAGCCCCTCCAAAACACCCATCACGCCGTCCACGCCATCACCCCGCTGCAAAAAGGAGTTCAGGGTCTCACGGTCCTCACCACTCAGCTTGGTAAAGTGATTTTTCATTAGCTGCTGCAGCACCGGCCGCGCACTGGACTTGGCCTGGAGAAAAGAACCCGCTTCAGGGGTGCTCAACGCAGACTTGGCACTCCTTACTCAAACAACTGGCAACACAAACGGCATCAAAACCGACCTTTTTTCTATTTGAAGAGGCCATTCCAATAAAACATGTTCTGGCAAAGGTTGCATCGAAGACTGGCAAAGAGATGTTCCTAGAAGTCACTGCGCATCAGCAAATCCCAAAAAACCCCAAACAGTTGAGGGTCTTCACACCGCTGAGATCCGATTCCAGGCGCTGCACATCATCCAAGTATTCCTTGTTCTGCTGCTTTCGCAACTCTTTGGCCGTGTCGAGAGCTGCTTCGTTCTTGGCTACCTCATCCTCCGCCTGCTCGATCTCTCCTTTGAGACGATCGCTCTGGGCTGCAAGGACTTCCACGCGCGACTTGAGCTCACGTGCGGTGGTTTCCGCCTCCGCAGCGGCCTTGGTCTTGGCGTCCGTGTTGTCATGGCACCAACATTTGAACTTGTCGTACGTCTCCTCGTCGGCTTTGGCTTCGCTCTCCACCGTTTCCTGCAAGCGAAACAGTGCGAAGCAATGCGACACGGAACAATGCGAAACAGCGCGAAACAACAAGAAGCAACAAGAAGCAACAAGAAACAAGAACGAGCAACAACAATCAGTAAGAGCAATAAGAAGCAATAAGAAGCATTCAGAAGCAACAAAAAAACTTAATAAACCGTAAGAAGCTATTTAAAGCAATTAAACGCAATACAGGGCGCGATGTCACACTAAGCAAGGTCAAGCAACGGGAAGCAACGCGAAGCAACGCGAAGAATCGCGAAGCAGTGAGAAGGAATGTGAGGCAATGAGAAGTTTACAATCCTGCACACGTCTGCACACCGCCTTAGCACACTGCAAACGTCCAACCGGCCCTCCCCACCTGCATGGATTTCAAAAGTTTCACCACCTTTGTGGTAGGGCGCTCGGCGTCGTCAGATTGCAAAGTGATGGCGGCAGCTTGCGCCAGCCATGCCAAGCAAAGCAGTCCGACCTTCATTGTGCTCGGATGTGTGCCCCCAAGCCTGTTCTGAAAGGGTCTGAGCCGAAAAACACCGAAAACACAAGATTCGAATTCATCCCATGAGTTCCAAAAATCAGCAAGAAAACTAACACGAAAACGTGCATCAAGCAACACGTAAATGATTTGCAAAACTCCTGACGGGCATCTTCATGTAGCCCGACATTGGTAACGGTGTGCTTGCTACTTGTTTGGACTGAAACAACATGTCACCTGAACCACATTCTTGGTCGAACTCCAGCTACGACAACGGGAAAAACAAAACTCGGAAGCCAAAAGTCCTGCAAATCATAAGAGCGCCAAAAGCTGCAACAAGCATTGTTGGGAGAGTAATCGAAACACTCCATCGAGAACGCAAATCAGTGTCGACAGCTCGACGGCAACAGCTAAGCGGGCATGAATCAAGAAGGAGATTCCTCGGTGGCAAAGAGTTGGCTCAGCAAGAACTCGGCCCCGGCATTGTCGCTGGCATCACATGCAGGTGACCAAGGCTAAGGATTTCCAAAACTGCGGAGCCTACAAATTGACCCCTTGTGGACAAGCCGGCAAAACACAAAGAAAGCTGCCACTTGGGGAAAGGCCAAAGGGATCAGCCATCCAAGAATCGTGTCCCAGAATCGTGTCCGTAAAAGCCCCGAAAAAAAATACTGCTGAACGGCCTGCTTGAACCTGCCAACATCAAGCAGAAGCTTGGAATCGGCACGTACGCTATCGTCTCCTTCTTTGACGGCTGTGGCATCTCTCGAGATGTTCTGATCGAAGCGAATAAGGCAAAAACCTGTTGTTGTAATCTCAATAGGACAACAGCCCGCTCTCTTCTCCATTAATTTGCCACCACAAGTATGGGTACAGGCGTGACTTTCAGAACTCGAAAACTTCGTCATGGTCAATGAAAATTGTCTTGCCTCGATTGCTACTAAAGCATCTCATTTCTCTTTCAATATTGCTTTCAAGCGAAACTTGGCTCCAGGAACCCTATCGTCGCCCCCATAGCACTTCTTGGACATCGCCTCTGCCTTGGTCGTACTTTGCAACTTCTATGTCCAACTCCTTACACAGCTGGTCAACAAGCTCGAATACGTGTCTCTGACGCTCGTTCCAGCTTCAACCTTGCCTTCCAAAGATGCCTGCGTTTCGCACAGTTCGCTCCTTTTACAACAGCGATTCCAACACCGCTTCGGGCTGGGTCTTGGAGCTCCGTCAAGTAACTTTGAAACTAGCCTTGTGACAGACTGTACTTTCTTTCATGATCTCGGGCGCACACTTTCTAAACTTGTTAAAACGAATCCTTCTCCTTCCTTTTTTCTTCTTCTTCTTCTGTTTATCATTTGTCTTGTTTTGCTTCATCTTCATCTGCATCTGCATCTCCATCTCCATCTCCATCTTCATCTTCATCTTCATCTTCATCTTCTTCTTCTTCTTTTTCTTCTTTTTCTTCTTTTTCTTCTTTTTCTTCGTCTTCGTCGTCTTCGGCCTGACTGGCTTTTCGCTGCTGCTATCTCCGCTTGAATCATCTTCGTTTGACGTTTTCTTCGCCTTGCTGCATTCACTCACTTTACTGTCCTTGTCAGCAGCTCGGATGTCATTCATTCTTTCTGCATGACGCGGAGGTCCCTGCTCGATTCCGCATTCTTCCTTACACTCTTCTGCGCCTTCGTCTTCGTCCATTACAGCTTTTTTGCCTTCCATCTGAGCTTTCATTTTGGTCTTGGGCTTACGTAGAATGCTCGGCGGTTCAGGCTAAGACTAGAATGCTGTTCATCGACTTGCTTTGTGCGAGAAACCCTTTCTCTAAGGTACGCAGGGGGTCTTCCTCAGCTCAAGCTCACAACGAAAACACCAAAAAAAACATAGAGCAAGGAATCATTGTGAAATCAAACATGGAATCTCATTAAAAAAATTCCTGAGAGTCTCGAAACACAGCTTGGAATCTAAAATTTGGCTCCGAACAAAACAAACTTTTAGCTGACACACTGCCGCCACGATCTTCCAACCCCCGCATTTCGCTGGCGTCAAAAACCTTTTTAAAGTTCAACCAGAGTTGTTTTAACACTAAAGGGCCCAGAGTAGAGGATGCCTGACCACATTCCCTCAATCAGTAAAGTCTGTCTAAACAAGAAGCAAGCTGGCTCCAGACCCCGAATTGCTAAAAACAACCAAATTGTTTCCAGGATTAGCAACTGCCACAGTTGTTTTACGCGCCCAAGATTGAACCTGGGTTGAACCTGGACTTCAAAAAAAAGTTCTAGCTGGAGTTGAACCTGGAGTTCTTCGAACTCAGAGTTCCGAGAACATAGAGTTCCAACCCTGGATTCGAACTCTGAGTTGGGGGTTTCGAACCCAGAGTTCGGAACTCTAAGTTCCAAACCCAGGGTTTAGAACACCCCAAAAACCCATGAGCGCTTCCTCACTCTGATTCTCAGTCTCGGTCTTGCTCCTACTCTCAATTTCATTCGTTCTCACTCTCACTCTCTCGCTC